TTGCATTGTCTGGGACTAGGGTTACAGATGTATATATGTATCAATTTAACAAGTACTGGAAATGTCCTGGGGTGGGGGGCAGGGTACTAAAGCTCATGCTTGCCTTAACTCAAGATCCTCTTTCTTCAGCTTCTGGAATTTATAGCCAGGTGCCACTACACCCATTTTCACCCAATGTTCTTTTGGAGCTGAGAATGTAGGAAGGTGGCTTAATCTGTCTGACTTTTTCTGTCTTACTGTGTAAGCCTGGCCAACTTCAAACTCAGTGCTGGAATCTATTTGTCACCTTAATAAAAATGGATTGTTTGCTTTATAAAACTTATCCAAAGTTAGAATTTTGATCTTAACTAATATCCTTTGTAGAAATTGAGAACGGACACAAAACTTTTGTTCAGTCTTCTTTTTCAGTTCTTGTTCTAGTCTCTTGAAAACAAATGTTTTTTTAAACAGACTTAGTATGAGCATCTCGTTGGTACAGAATGATTGAACAATGAGAATTTTAAAAATGAAGCAAATTTACTGGTACTAATTGGAATTAAAAGTGTGCTGATGGCTCAGTGGGGAAAGTGCTTGCTGTACGAGCTTGTGAGCCTAAGTTCTGAACCCTGGCACCTATTGTAAAAAGCCAGACTTGGCAGAGTTTGCTTCTGGTCCCAGTGCTAGGAGACAGGCAAGAGGATCCCCAGTACTCCTTAGGCAGTTCAGCTAACCAATAGATGAAAACTCTGGGTTCAGTGAGAAGCCCAATCTCACACAGTAAGGTAGAGGGTAATAAAGCAAGACCCTTCACTTTAGCCTCTGACCTTCCTTCACAGGTATATAAGCATGCAGACATACACACGTTGTGTGTATTAATATCTTAAAACTTGGAGTAGTGTAGTAGTAGGCATGGTGGTCTTAGTGATGTCATTTTGAAGTCAGTCAGGGATAAACAGTAAAACTCTGTCTCCCAGTGCTGGAGAATTGGCTTAGAGGTTAAGAACACTTGACTGATGTTGCAAAGGACCCAATTTCAATGCCCAGCACTCGTGGCAGCTCACAATCATCTGTAACTCCATCCCCAAGCGTTCAGACGCTCCTTTCTGGCCTCAGTGGGTGTGGCATACACGTGGTACTCATGCAGGCAAAGCACCCATAATGAAATTATGGTGGGGAGGACCTTGTCTCCAGAGGATCCAGCAGTGCTTCTGTAGCACCTGAATGCAAGTGGTGCACATAAATTCATGCAACACAATTTTAAGAGAATGTGTATTGTGAAATTTAAAAATGATAAGATTTGCCATACCACTTAGTTAAGCTCCAGCAACTTAATTGTAAACATTTCCTTAGATTAATTGCTTAGGGGCAGGTAGAGTGGAAGTGAGAGACATGGTGGAGTTTCAAGAGTGTTGCTGTCCCTCCAGTGGGCCTGAGATGAGCTCCCAGCACCCACATCAGGTAGCTCACAACTGTTTTAACTCCAGCTCCAAGAAATCAACAACCTTTTCTGGCCTCTGCAGGCACCCACATACACACTATATACAGACTTGTGCACATAAAATCTTTTTTTAAAGCTGGGCATAGTGGTGCATGCCTTTAATGCCAGCTCTCTGGAGGTAGAGGCAGACCTGGTCCACACTGAATTTCAGGTGGCCAGAGCAACATCTGAATAAAAGAATGAAATCAGTCTTAAGCCTCTGTTGAGGTTTTTCAGTGGTTAAAGGCACTTGCCACCAAGTCCAACAGCCCGATTTCAGTACTCCCAATCTACATGGTAGAGAAAGAGAACCAAGGCACAGAGACCATCACTCCCAGTAAATAATAAGTAAATAGATAATTTACCCCCCAAAAGGGTAGAGCGAGCCAGGCACTGAGGTACTTACCTATAATCAATCCCTCTTGAAAGGGGCAGGAGAATCGGGAGTTGGGCTGTATGGGATGGGTGGGAAGGGATACAATATAGCCAGCTGTGGTGGCTCAGGCCTACAATCTGCACTGAAGGGGGATTGCTGTAGGTCCAGCCCATAGTGAGTTCCAGATACCTGAATTACTAGAAAACCAAGTAGGGGAAAGGTAAAGATGACGTCTTGTAGTAGGACTAGTACTAGACCTGAATTTGATGGTGGTTTTATTTTGTAATGTGTTTAAGGCGTTTTCACTTTGTGCCACTCCTAAAATGAGAATAAAGATCTATGAAGTACTACACATGGTGGCTATTTGGGTAGTGCTGAGATTCTGCTCTACCCCCCAGCGGAGCCTTGAGATCTAAGAGACTAACAGCAAATACTGTGGATGAGTCTTATTTTTAAATGAACTGCCTTATAACTTAGCTTATTAAGAGAAACAGTGGCATGAAGAGTCAGCAGAGTAGTTTTCCTTGAATCTGGATGACTAAAAAACATATTGTCGGTAGGTGCTCAGGTAGCATGATCAACCCGAGACTTTTGTAATGGTATATATTTCTATGCTAAGTGAATTGATGCATAAGTCTTGCAGGTTTAATAGGACAGAAGTGGAGGTGAAAAATATTAACAGTCACATTGAAGAAGAGATTGATTGTTGAATACTTATGAAAGGTGGAAGGCCAATATAGTAAAAGGAAATGTGAACTGTACATATCCACATATCCTTATCTGTGGTCTTTGTTGTGGTATTGATCAGAGTAAGTAAACCTGATAGAAGAAAATTTACTCCCCCCCACCCCCAACAAGGCTCTGTCATGTAATTCATACCTACATTATGGCACCAGAGGATTTGGCAATTGGTTTTTAGGTTGGTTTTAGTTGTTATCTACTGGCTTTAATATTTGGGGGAAGAGGGACCATGTAGCCCAGGTGACCTTGAACTTGAAGTATCTTAAGAATATATGGATGTGCTACAACACCCAAGTATGGGGCATTGAGTCAGCTTTGTACATGTTAGGAAAGCTCACAAACAACTGTGCTACATCCAGCCCTAAACGTGTACCTTTGAAATAGTGGGTTTTTTTCTTTAACAGCTTTTGAATGGGACATTTTATCAGCTGGCAGAGTTATGGGCAACCTTTAACATTTTTATCAAAAGATTATAAGTTTTACAGATAACCTGAGAATTGTGGCATAACTTTAAGGTTTGGTTATAATTGCCAGTTACTAAAATTTATGATACAAGTTTTCAAAATTACTCCAAACTTACCAGGCTTTGTCACACACCTTTAATCCCAGCACCTTGGAGGCAAGAGGCAGGCAGATCTCTGGGAGGGAGTTCGAGGCCAGCCTGGTCTACAAATTGAGTTCCAGGACAACTAAGACTATTACACAGAGAAATCCTGTGAGGGGGAAGAAGAAAAGCTGTTCCAAATACAGGCATATGTCTTGTTAGTTATCCATGAACCTTTGTAGATAGAGATCATGTTGACCTCATAGGGATCAGCCAAGTAGGATCTTAAAAGAGATGAATAAGCATTGTGCATCTTCATGGGACACATGATTTAAATTCACTAGTTTATTTCTTTGGAAATTCCCATTTTTAATACTAAGGAAATAGAAGGCAGTTTGTTTCACAAGATGTGACTTGAATATATGTAAATTTGTCAGTTTGCATCTACAATACTGAGCTTCCTATTGCTTGCTTATGTTCTGCATCAATTTGTCCATATAGCAAATACCAGAACTTGTTTGGATTGTGCTTTGAAAACCTCCTGCCTGGCTTCTTTCTGGTTTGTAGTATCTAAGGTAGATGGAAGCCTATTTAGTATTTCTTTTATAATCTGTGGTATAAGGGTCAGTGAGTCATTTGGCTGTTTGAGCTGGGCAGCATATTTTAAAGGGTTGTTGAATACTAAGGATTTTTTTTTTTTTTTTTTTTTTTTTTTTAGACAGGGTTTCTCTGTGGCTTTGGAGGCTGTCCTGGAACTAGCTCTTGTAGACCAGGCTGGTCTCCCATCTGCCTGCCTCTGCCTTCCAAGTGCTGGGACTAAAGGCGTGCGCCACCAGCACCCAACAATACTAAGGAATTTTTAACAACTCTTCATTAAGACAGCTTTAAGAGCTGGTTAGTATAGTAAGACAAAACAGATAACCGCTTCTTACCAGAAATTTTCCCCCTTCCTTGCAATTTAAGTTTCCTAATTCTAAATAGTCTTATGAATTTCTTTTATGAAATTTAAAGTTAGCCAGGTGTGGTCACACATGCTTGTAGTCCCAGTTTCTTAGGAGACTGGGGAGGGGAGGATTATTTGATACCACAAGTTTGAAATCAGCCTGGGCAAAATAATGAAATTTTATTTCAAAAACAAAGAGAAGGGCAAGGTTCCAGCACAAAATCTCTTGAGTTGGAGGACAGCTAGGACTACACAGAGAAACCCTCTCTGAACAAAAGTAAAGTTCACTGAATAGTTGAAATAGTTTCATTTAAAAAGATGAGTCAAGCTGGGCGTTGGTGGCGTATACCTTTAATCCCAGCACTCGGGAGGCAGAGGCAGGCGGATCTCTGTGAGTTTGAGCCACCCTTGTCTCCAGATTGTCTCCAGAGCGAGTGCCAGGATAGGCTCCAAAGCTACACAGAGAAACCCTGTCTCGAAAAAACCAAAAAAAAAAAAAAAAATCAGATTTTTTTAAAATCTGGCATTTGTCCTCCATAAATGACTTCTTTAACACCAGCTATTAGAATAACAGGCCATATTCTGAAACTTTTTTTGTTCATAGTTGAAGTTTGTGACACCACAAGTGTTAGAGAGCTAAGGACTATTCTATAAAGTTGTTTATAGAAGATTCCTGAAGATGAGAGAGATCAGATAAAAACGGCTTTAAATATTTGTGACACCCTGGGTGTTAAAATAAGAGTACTTTTGAACTGGAATTGTAATTCAGTATTATAGTGCTTGCTTAGCATGCAGCAGCCTTGGTTCAATTCCTAGCACTGCCAGAAAGAAGAGAACACCTTTAAAATGTCTTTTAAAAGATACTCTGCCAGCCAGGAGGTGGTGACATCTTTAATCCCAGCACTTGGAAAACAGAGGCAGGAGGATCTCTGACTTCAAGACCAGCCTGGTCTACAGAATTCTAAGACAGCCAAGGCTACACAAAGAAACCCTGTCTCAAGAAGAAAAAAAAAAAAGATACTCTGCCAAATTGTGATATTTTGTTGTGACTCTAGATCTGGGATTTAGCTTTAAGTTTATTAATTTTACTCTACAGAAGTAATTTTTGGGGCCAGCAAGATAGCTCGGTGGGAGCCAGGCGTTGGTGGCTCACACATTTAATCCCAGCACTTGGGAGGCAGAGGCAGGTGAATCTCTGAGTTCCAGGGCAGCCTGGTCTACAGAGCAAGTTCCAGGACAATCTCTAAAGCAATACAGAGAAGAAAAAAAATGGTGGGTAAGGCACTTGCTGCTGCACCTCATAACTCCCAGTGAGTTGCTTTCTGGCCACATGGGCACAAAATATTTTAAAGTGTAGTATTTTTAAAGAAGTCATTTTTGGTAACAATGTTTAATGAGAGGCTTGGTAATTAAAAATTTATGTGGACCATTAAATTCTCATTAAAGGAGTCCTTAAGATTAAATTGTAGACTTTTTCTAGGATTTCTTTAAAATCATAGTAAAATTAAAGTTTATACTATCTCAGAGCAAGACCTGGTGCTTAATGTATAAAGAGACTTTGGTGGGTGCATAAAAATGTTGTGACCACTGCACTTCCACAGTGCCATAGTTGAATGTTATGTTAAAGTCTGGTTTATAGGAAGGAAAGCTAAAAGAAAGACATTCTCCTGGTTCAGATTTTGGACCATCCCCTTTACTTCAATTATAAACAAAATCAATACTTTTCTTTTTCTTAAGTACTATATATGTTGCTCCAGGCAACTGTCTAGAAAATTTAGAGTAAGATATGAAGGACTTAACACTGGAAAGGTTGGGGGGGCGGTGGTGGCACATGCCTTTGATCCCAGCACTTGGAAGGCAGGGGCAGTAAGATATCTCTGAGTGTGAGGTCAGCCTGATCTACAAAGTAAGTTCCAGGACAGCCAGGGCTGTTACACAGAAACACTGTCTTGAAAAATAACAACAAAGCACTGGAAAGGTTGTCATTAACCAGGAAGATAATGGGTAGAGTTCTTGATAAGCAAATGTTTTGATATTAAACTTCAATGAAAGGGGTTAGGTATATAGCTCACTTGATAAGGTGCTTATCTAGCACCAGGCCCTGTTCAGTCCCCAGCACAATGTAAAACCAAGTTTGGTTGTACATGCCCATGTTTGCTTGGGAGGGAAATAGAGGCAGGAGATGTGGCATAAATGAAAATTGGTATGAATTTGTACATTTGTTAAGATCGGGCTAATTCTTTGCATTAATAACTGAGTGTTAAGTGGATGGAGAAACCAAATTTTGGGTTCTATTTTGGTTATGTGGATTACTATGGTTTTTAGTCAGTTACTAATTATTTGATAAATTTTTACGTAGAACTAACTTCAGAGACTAGTTTGCCATGGAGGAGATGTCTATTTCTCTGCAAGAGTATACATTGGTGTGCATAAATACAAAAGTGGTGGGATCAAGGACAATTGTCATGATACACATTTTGTTCGTACTTTATGGTGTAAGTGGTGTCTCAAACATCAACGGCATCTATTTCAGGAATTTACCAGTCAAAGCGAAGGGCTGTTAGAAACTTTGTGCTCTCCCTTTAGTTTTTATGTGCTTGTCTTCAAAACACATCTTTCTGGTTAATCAGAATGAGTGGAAACAGCAGTCAAAATTGGGAGGTGCAATTTTACTAATTTGTTATGTCTTTGATCTCCGGCATGTGTGCTGTCATGTGAGTTCAGATGGTGTGTATAGCCACTTTGGCCTGGGATGCTTTGCTTCAGCCGTACCTGAATTTCTTAAGTGTGGCTTATTGAAAGTTAATTCTAAGATCAGTAAGAGCTTTCAGCCTGTAAAATAGTGGAAAATGAATATTTAGGTGGGGGGAATTGTAGTTTATGTTTGAATTACATTTATATTAAAATTAGGGACTAGAATGGACATGAAAGGGGAGGAGGGTAAAGAATATGGTTAAAATCTTAGAGAAATTCAGTAAATTCTGTTAGACTACACATTTTTAAATACTATGAAAATTTGGTTTTTTTAATTTATTTTTAAATAAACTAGTTATTTGCACTTTACCTGCTGGCCTTTCCATTTGGTAGATAACATTCTGAACTCCAGCAGAGTTTTATAATCCCCACGTGCTTAAATATACTAAATGTTCTTTTTCCATTAAGGTTAATGTTCGTGAAGAAATTGAAGAGTTTTTTCCAAGAATGTGGAAGATAAATCAAGATAAAAGAAGGCTAATGAAAAGTATTAAAGATCAGAAAATTAAAATTGAATGGGGGAAAAAATTGAACAGAAGATTGGTCAGATAGAAGCTCTTGAATATTTTTAAGGCTATTTTGAATTGTTTGAATTGGGGAAGAATACACGAAGTATGAAAAATGAAAAACTCAATGAAGAATGAAGAGAAGTAGAAAGCAAGAGTGAAGTAGAATTAAAAGAATCTGGAAGAATGAATGGGTCCTAGGTTAAGTAAATGTATGGTTTATGTTCCAGTGTCTGTATGATCAAGTTGTAGATGAATTTGCATGATTACTTAGTTAATAGAAAATTGATGATCTGGTTCAAGTAGGGAATTATTGAGGACAGTTAGCAGTATTAACAATGGGATATTAATGAGCTGAAATTTTTTTCTGGAGGGTGTTGCCTAACCATTTGTTTTTCAGGAGCAATCAATATAAATAATTACGGTATTTTAAATGTTAGGTGGTAGGCATCTACTTGACCAGTGCCATTTGTAATACTGTCTTCTTTGTTAGGAGTCTCGCTCTCAGTCAAAATCTCCAACGGGAACTCCTGCTCGAGTAAAATCAGAGAGCAGGTCAGGATCTCGTAGTCCATCAAGGGTTTCCAAACATTCTGAATCCCATTCTCGATCAAGATCAAAATCCAGGTAAGTTTAAAATGGGCTAACTGCTTTCTTCACAGCAAGATGGTTTTGTCAGATCTCCTTTTTGCAGCATTTCATATAGAAAGTTCACTGCAGAATTTAGAATCATTCCTTAGCTTATCTGTTAGCTACTGCCTATTGGGTAAAGGTATCAGCCACCATACCTGATTCTCTCAGTTTAATCCTTGGAAGCCGAATGGTGTAACTGACCTCTACTCTTGTACCTACACAAAAACATACGTACACAATTAAAAAACAAAAAACAAAAAAAACTAGATATACAAACCTGTCATCTACCTTACTTTCTGAAGCAGAATCTCTCAATCAGGCCAGAGCTTAACAGTGTGGCTGTTCTAACCAGACATCTTGCTCTGAGGATCCCTAGTCTCTACCTTCCAAAACTGGAATTACGACCAGTTACCACACCTGGCCAACATTTACAGAACTTTTGAAGGTCGGTACTCATAGTTCTCTGCCTACATGGTGATCACCCATAAGCCATCTGCCCAAGGCAAAAACTGGTATTTGTTTTGTTATTGTTTGGGTTTTTTTTTGTTTGTTTGGGCAGTGGTGTTAGCAGCAGATTTTACTAAAATTAGTATTAGGAGAATAAGGGATATCTTCATTAGTATTCTTCCTTATGGAATGATTTGTCTCTGGTAGTACACCATTAGATTGGTTTTATCCTTCTCTCAGAAGTCTGTTTATTCAAGAACTTAATACCAGGTTAACCTCAATATTCTTTGCTCTTCATAATTCCTTTATAGGTATAGCAGACTTGTATTTGCTATTCTCTGAGTGCATCTCCATCACTTTCTCTTTTTCTTTTCAATTTAGACAAGGTCTCACTCTCTAGCCCTGGCTGGCCTGGAACTCACAGAGATCTTTGTCTCTCTTGAGTGCTGATGGCAGTAAAGACATGCACACCCTGCTGCTGCTGCTATTCTTTTTCTTGTTTCTTAAGTATGCTTTAACATTTTTTTTTTTTTGATGGAAAATGAAATGAGAGTGAAGGAGTGGACTAAATAGAAATTTAAAAAATAAGTGTTTGCTGTTCATCCAGAGGATCTGCTCTTGATTCTTAGTTCTCAACACAAGCATTTGACAGCTTACGGCCAACCACCTGTAACTCCACCTTCAGGTGTTGTGCAGCCCACTTCTGGAAGGCATCTACAAATATGTACACATATATATACATAAATAAAAATGGGTGTGTGGGGGAAAAAAGTGTAAATAAGCAGGTGTCCATTGAGTCCCAAAGAGGGCATCACATCCCTTATAGAAAGTAAAATACCCAAGTGAGTGGTTGGGACATACCTCAATTGCTGCAGCAAAACAAAAATTAAGAAATTTTTTATTAATTAGATAACCTGTGTTTCTGTATGTATGTATTCCATGTGCATGCAGTGCCCTCAGAACTGGAATTACAGATGGTTATGAGCCACCATAAACCAAACCTGAGTTGTCTTGGAGAGCAACAAATAAATGCTCTTAACTGTAGAGCTATCTCTCCAGCCCTGTGATCTATTAAACCTAAGTTTGTTTCTTTCAAAGGTCAAGGTCAAGGAGGCATTCTCATAGACGCTACACTCGGTCCAGGTCTCATTCTCATAGGAGACGATCTCGAAGTAGATCCTATACACCAGAGTATCGTCGACGAAGAAGTCGGAGTCACTCTCCAATGTCTAATCGCAGAAGACATACAGGCAGCAGGGTACGTTTGTTGTAAGGGTTAATGGAAACTTGGCTTTCTCTTTCTCCAATGTGTAGTCATGGCATAATATCTTGCTTTTATGAAAAAAGTGGTATGGCAGAAAGAACAAGTATTTTAACTGCATGTGGTGGTGCTTGCCTTTAATCACAGTACTCAGGAGGCAAAGGTAGGTGGGTGGAGGTCTAGGTCCCAAGCCAGCCAGGGCCACGTAATGAAGCCCTATCTTTAAAGGGGGAGGGGTGAGCCGGGCCTTGGTGGCGCACGCCTTTAATCCCAGCACTTCCACTGCAAGAGACAGGCGGATCTCTAGTTTGAGGACGACCTGGTTTGCAGGATGAGTTCAGGACAGCCAGAGCTACACAGAGAAATACTTTCTTGAAAAGGTGGGGTTGGGGAGCTGGAGAGATGGCTCAGAGGTTAAGAACACTAGCTAGTCTTAAGGGGTCCTGAGTTCAACTCCCAGCCAACCACATGACGACTGGTAACCATCTGTAATGAGTTCTGGTGCCCTCATCTGGCCTGCAGGGACACATACAGACAGAACACTGTGTACATTAATAAATATACATAATTTCACAAACCTCCTACAAATGAAGTACATTTTTATTAGTTTTTTTTTTTTAATTTTATATGCTTTGGTGCTTTGCCATGGGTGTCAGGTCCTCTGGAACTGGAATTAGACAGTTGTGAGCTGCCATGTGGGTGTTACGATATGAACCCAGGTCCTCTAAAAGATCAGTCAGTGCTCTTAACCTCTGAGCCATCTCTCCAGCCCCAAAGTACATTTTCTTGACTTTGTGTGTGACAGGTTTGCCATGTAGATCTGCCTCATCCTCTTCAATGCTGCATTTACTAAGCAGGAAGTTTGTGTAAGTGCATTTCTTAAGGAAGCTGCAAAGGGCGTAAGTTCCTCTGGAGCCAGAGTAATGGACAGTCCTTAATCCTCGGAACATGGGCGCTAGAAATGCACCTCTGCTAGAGCAGTGTGAGGTCCTAAGCACTGAGTTGGTTTCTGTGTCTGCACAGTGTACACATACAGACAAGAGGGTGTGCCCATTATCTTCCTCAGTTAATTACCGTGTCTTGTGAGCCTCAACTATTGGCTATGCTGGCTGTACGGCAAGCACCAGGAATCCCGTCTGTTTAGTGCTGGGATGTTGAGTGTGCACAGTTGTACCCAGCTCTTTCCAGGTTTCTTAAAAAATCAAATTTGGGAAAAAATATGTTCAATTAAAATGAGAATCATAAACTTCTATGTGGTACACTCAAGTTTTGTTTTGTTTTCACTCAAAAGTTTTATTATAGGGAAGAAACAAGAAAACACCAAAGATCTATGTAATATCTTATACTCCTATTGAATTCGTGTAATACTTTCTTATTTATGTATTATGCACGCAACATTCTGCTTCCATGTATATGCGCATACCAGAAGAGGGCACCAGATCTCATTACAGATGGTTGTGAGCCACCATGTGGTTGCTGGGAATTGAACTCAGGACCTCTGGAAGAGCAGTCAGTGCTCTTAACCTCTGAGCCATCTCTCCAGCCTCCGTGTAATACTTTTTATGTGCAGGTTATTTGGGTGTGAAGCACTGAAGTATTTTGTTTTGATTTTGAGTTGGCAGAGAGGCCAGCAAGATAGCTCAGTAAGTGGATTGGGGCACTTGGCAGCCAAGCCTAATGGCCTGTGTTTATATCTAGAATCCACATTGTAGAAAGAATTGTCCTGACCTCCATATGTGCTTCATACTACAAGTGTGTCCATATATACACACACTAAATGTGGGGGGGGGGGGTTCTGTTCATTGTTGTTGTTTTAGATAAGTGTTAGAGCCCAGGTCTCAAATTGCCCTACTCTAAAGTTGTTTGCTGTGTTTTCCCTATATGATACCAGTGATGCTGACATCCACAGTAGTTTTGGTGTCAGTATTTATTTAATAATAATATTAAAGTCTTGATCCTGACAACATTCAAAGGATATCCTGCTACAGAATGAAAATGTGGCTAGAGGTAAGGCTCAGTGACTAAGAACACTTAACTGCTTTGCCAGAGGACCGACCAGAGTTGGGAGGATCCATTGTCCCCATCTGGCCTCTGGGAACACATGGACAGAAACTGGGGGGGAAATAATTTTTAAATTCTTTTAATGTGTTTATGTGTGCCTGCCTAAAGTATGTACACATGTTTGCTTTGGGAAGTTAGGTTACTGGGTCCCCTGGATGTAGAGGTACAGGTAGTTATACACCACCATCCCACATGGGGTCATCTGCAAGAGCAGTAGGTACCCTTAACCATTGAACTGTCTCTTTAGCCCCTAAAGTAAATGTTTAAAAGGATGAAAATAGAGGGCTAGGATTGTAGCTGAATGGGCAGAGTACTTAGCTGTTGGGTTGAGTCTCCAGCACTACATAAAATTGAGGTTACTGGAAAAGTGGAAATGAATCAGATTAACTAGTAATGAACCAGACATGCAAAAGGTGAATTCTTTGGGTACATTCTGAGAATTGCTGAGCTAGATGAGAGAGGGAATTTTTCTGTTTTGTTTTTCAAGACAGGGTTTCTCTGTGTAACAGTCCTAGCTGACCTGGAACATGCTCTAGAGAGCATGTTGATGCTCTCTAGAACATCTACAGATCTGCCTGCCTCTGCCTCCTCAGTGCTGGGATTAAAGGCCTCACACCATCACCACCACCACCCAGCTGAAAGGGAATGCTTTTATACAAACTATAGCCATAAAGTGTATTCCAAAGAAAATCTTTGTGTTTTGATCTTATATTGGAATTTTAATTAAAATTTAACTCTACCTTTATTCAACAGGCAAATCCAGATCCCAATACTTGCCTGGGAGTGTTTGGCCTCAGTTTGTACACAACAGAGAGAGATCTTCGTGAAGTGTTTTCTCGATATGGACCATTGAGTGGTGTGAATGTGGTTTATGATCAGCGAACTGGGAGGTCACGTGGATTTGCTTTTGTGTATTTTGAGAGGATAGATGACTCTAAGGAGGTAAGTCTTGTTTTATAATTTTCATTTGAAAGAATTTTTTACACGCATGATAATGATGCAGCATTATTAAGTCTGTTTATCTTTTCTGTAAACATGCCTCCTGACTGTCTGACCAGATTGGAACTCAGCTCACAGTTTTGCAGTTAAAAAAGCTAGTTTGGCGCTGGGCGATGGTGGCGCATGCCTTTATTTCCAGCACTTGGGAGGCAGAGGCAGGAGAATTTGAGGCCAGCCTGGTCTACAAAGCGAACTCGAGGGCAGCCTCCAAAACAATACAGAGAAACCCTGTCTCAAAAAAAAAAAAAAAAAAAAAAAAAAAACTAGTTTTGCTTCTCAGTTCATGCTTTCTATATAATTACATGCTAATTGAAATCTTTATGAAGTGAATGATATGAGTAAATGTTAAAAACTGTAGTGTGTAACTGTTCTTTTTTCTTTATATGAGCCATATTGATGCTTAAGTTGACAGTCTAATTTTATGTCTAATTCGGTGGGGTGGGGTAGAGGCAGGTGGATCTCTGAGTTTGAGGGCAGCTAGGCCTACACAGAAAGTGCCTGAGTGAGTGGGATGGTGAGCTCAGATGCAGGCTGGTTATGTCCCGTGGTGATCACTAGGGGGCAGTGCTGGCTTAGAATTGTGTACTAATTTGTGTACTATCAATTCTCAACAAGAGGAGGCAAGCTACTATAATTGTTCTCTTGCATCCCTTTAAATCATGGCTATTTGGCTACTTAGTGAGTTTTACAAATAAATATTGAACTACAAACTGAAGAGCAAGGCTAGAGGTAGGTTAAGGTGAGCATGATGGTGTATACCTGTAATCTATTACTTGTAAGACAGAGGCAGGATTGCTGTAATTCCCAAGCAATTCAGGGTGATATTGATATCTAGTCTTAAGGGGAGTAGGAGGGGTTATAAGTTAAAAACAAACAGAATCCTAAAGGTTAGCTAGCTCTTCTGAATATCTGAGGTTTGTCTTTGTAAGGGAAGCAGATCTTAGTTGCATTGTGCAACTTAAATATATTCTGGGTAATACTTAGCTCTGGAAATGCTGGCGGTTCCTTATATAAGCTGCAGTTCTATGCCATTTCAAAAGTGGGTTTATTTTATAAATAGTTCATACTTAATTTTAAATTAGCTAAAAATGGCTTCAAGATTAATGAATTATGAATAATTTTCTTTTTCTTTTATAGGCTATGGAAAGGGCGAATGGGATGGAGCTGGATGGTAGAAGAATTCGTGTGGATTATTCTATCACCAAGAGAGCACACACGCCTACACCAGGCATTTACATGGGCAGACCAACACAGTAAGAACTTGTGTTTTGTAGGGGTTATCTCTTGTAGGCCTCTTTATAGGCAGTTTATTGATACTGGTCTTTGTTTTTAAAATATCACGATTTTCACATTGAACAAAAATATAAATGTTTTCATATTGTTTGCTTTTTAAGGAATGCAAAGGAGCCAGAGGCAGGCAGATCTTTAGAGGTTGAGGCCAGCCAGGACTACTGTCACATAAAAAGTGGCACATGGTGGGAAGAGGGGCAGATAGATGCAGGCTTTTTTTTTGTTTTTTTTTTTGTTTTTGTTTAATTGAGGGATATGTTGATAGGGAAGAGAAGACCTACAGAAAACCAGGCTTGAAATTGTCCCTTGTTTTTGGAACACACCAAAGAAGGGGGCTTCAGATTCACCCCCAATGAGTAAACATTAGATCCTGGAATAGTCATTCTTTTTGGTGTTCAGGCCTAGTTTAATTAAACTAATACATACTTTTTTTTTTCAACTATATATTTAGAGAGAGGGTATATGGTTTGCAGGAGTTGGTTCTCTCCACTCATGTAGATCCCTTGGATAGAATTGTCAGGTTTAAAGCAGCAAGTGCCTTTGCCCACTGACCCATCTTTCAACCCTTTACATTTGTTATTATTTCCTATGCTTTTTCTTTTTTTTTCTTTCCTTTCTTCCTTCCTTTCTTTTTTTTTTAAGACAGGGTCTCTATAGAGCCTTGGCTATCCTGGAATTCATTTTGTAGACCAGGCTGGCCTCACATATCTTCCAGCTTCTTCCTTCTAGTGCCCGGTATTAAAGGCATGTGCCACCACACTGGTCTTAAAGTATTTTGGTTTTTTTTTTTTTTTATGTATTTTGGGGAGGGGTGTATGCACATGAGTACAGTGTCCTTAGAGGCCAAAAGATGGTATCAGTTCCCCTCGGTGGAGTAGCAGGCATTGTGAGCCACCCTACGTGGGTGTTGGGAACGGAACTGAATCTTGGAAGAGTAGCAAAATATGCTCTTAACTGCTGGGCCATGTCCCCATAGAGTTCTGTGAGACCATAAGGAGCCAAAGCAGAACACCATGGGAGTCAGTAGGGTGAGATGGGAGGACATTTGCCATGCAAGAAAGGTTCCCGCTTATCTCACTTATCCTGCCAGTTTGTATAAAATGATCCAGGATAATAATCTTTTCTTCTTCCTCTTTTTTTTTTTTTTTTTTTTTGTGTGTGTGTGTGTGTGTGTAGTAGTGGTGGTGGCGGTGGAGGAGGAGGCGGCGGAGGAGGAGGAGGAGGCGGCGGTGGCAGACGACGAGATTCTTACTATGATAGAGGATATGACCGAGGCTATGACAGATACGAAGACTATGATTATCGGTACAGGTAATGTTTTAATCTGACATGTCAAGTCTATGTGGATGGTAGCTTTATTTGGTACTTTAATGGTTAGCATGTACAAATAGAAACTGGATGTTTGAGCTGGGTAGTCTTAGTTGCTTGGGAGACAAAGATAAGATCACTTGAGCTCAACCTACTAATAAAGTGACTTTACATATTTTGGGGGCTAGGGTGGTTCAGAGTTGAAGAAAGTTTAGGGGTGAGAGTGTCACTTGATGGTACTTGTCCAGTATGTGCTAGGTCCTGTGCTAGGTCCTCATACTCCTTAAAAATGAAGGCACAGGGTCTTCTGTGTAGCCCTGGCTAGCTTGAAACTGGCTGTATAAACTATCTTGGCCTCCACTCACTAACGTCACGTCTTCCCAATATTTAGGATTAAAGGCCTGTACTACCACAATGGCTAGGTTTTTGTTTTGTTTTGTTTTTTTTCTTCCCCAGACTCAGTGAAGTGATTATGTAGTGTGCTAATTCATCTCTCATTTCTTACAGAAGAAGGTCGCCTTCTCCGTATTACAGTCGCTACAGGTCAAGGTCAAGATCTCGTTCCTACAGCCCAAGTATGTAAAATTTGCTTTTGTAGTGTTGGAACTGTATGTATGTATGTATGTATGTTTGTTTGTTTGTTTGTTTGTTTGTTTTTTGAGACATGGTTTCTCTGTATTGCTTTGAGTCTGTCCTAGAACTCGCTCTGTAGACCAGGCTGGCTTCGAACTCACAGAGATCCTCCTTCCTCTGCCTCCCGAGTGTTGGGATTAAAGGCGTGTGCTACCAACGCCCAGCTGAAACCATCTTTCTAACCAGATACTTGCATATGTGGTAGCTGTTAATAGTTGGAAAAATATTAGGCAAGTCAAACTATAATAATTGTTTTTGTTCTCTTTCAGGACGCTATTGATAATGAAGCAGTTATGGCTAAGGACTTTCCTTTCCTTTTTTGATTCTGGATTTATGAGCTTCCGATGCTTCCTAGTCCTCAAAACAAAACAACAAAAAAACCCTTGGTTTATTTCATCTATAGTGTGGCCAGTTGTGTTACTGTTTTCCATCCTTTGTTATACTCTTAAAGGTGTAATTGTCATTTAAGTCGTCCAACATCTGAGAAAAAAGGAGCCCGCTGTTATGCTTTGTGGTTCTTTGCCTTTACAGGGGACTAACTCCCTACTAGGAGGGAAGAAATGGCCGTCTTTTGAAAGCTTTTGTGATGGGTAGTGTAGTAGACGTCCTATTAGAACCCTGCAGTCGTGACAAACTGCTTTTTAACCTTCTTGGGGAAGATCACTTTAAGTAGATGAGTCACGTCAGGTTGTCTAGAGTGGCCTGGAACAGAGTTGAGTGTAGAAAGTTTGAAGCTATAGGAGAAACTATGAAGAATGTAACTTTGACCCTAAAAAATTAAGTCACCTTTTAGGAATTAAAGCTTGTAGATTCCTATAAAACATGTTATGTTTGAAGTTACGTGTTAAACCTTATAAACTTAAAGTGTGATTTTTGTGTTAAATTTACAGAAACTTAAGTATTCCCTTAATCACTGAAGGACAAAAATTATTTATTACCTAGAACAACTGTATAACTTGCTGTTAGAAATTTTGGTATTGGGTTATTGGTTTTGTGGGTTATTGTATAGTATAGAATCCTAAAATACATGTGGGGAAGAGTAATTTCAAATAAAAGTTAATTTGAAAAGGGATTGTTTGTTTTATTTGATAACAGTGGACAATGCAACTGGATTGAAAGCTATTTTTGTTTGAGTGTGTGCCTGCATGTGTGTCAGTGCAGCAGTGTGTACATGCGGTGACCGCCTTGAAGACTAGAAGAGGTCATCTTATCCTCTGGAACTGTTAGAGCTGGGAGCCACCATGTGGGTGCTAGGAGTGGAACCGGACCCTCTGGAAGAACAGCCAGGGCTGTCCACCTCTCCCCACCTCCCATCTGCTCCTCAGAGAGGGTGAGGCCTTCTCTAGGAAGTCTACTAAGTCTGTCCCATCATCTCACTGAGGCAGGACCAAGGCACCTCTCCTCCCCCACACCCCTGTGTCTAGGCTGGGCAAGGTAGGTATCTCTCCATATAGAACGGGCTCCACTGAGTCAGTTTGTGCATTAGAATTAGATCTTGGACTCACTGCCAGTGGCCTCATATTGTCTGTCATACCATTGTCACCTGTTAAGGGAGTCTAGTTTGGTCATATGTTAAGGTCATATGCAGGTTCCCCATTTGTCAGACCTGAGTCAGTGATCTCTCACTAGCTCGGATCAGCTGATTCTGGTGTCCTCTTCTGGCATGCAGGTAAAACACTATATATATAATAATTTTTTTTAATTGAAAGTACTCCACTAGACAGTGGTGGTGCACTCCTTTAATGCCATCACTCAGGAGGCAGAGGCAGGTGGATCTCTGAGTTTGAGGCCAGTCTGATCTACAGAGCTTATTCCAGGACACAGAAACTCTGTCTGAAAAAATTAAATGAAAATGTACTCTTCCCATAAAATTATGGGAATTTTAAGATTATTAAGGGCTGCAGAGATGGCTCAGCGGTTAAGGACATAGGGCTCAATTCCTAGCACCCACATGGCAGCTAACAACTGTCCATAACTACGAGATCTGACACCCTCAGACATAAATGCACACAAAGCACCAATATACATAAAATAAACATTAAGATATAAGGTTATTGAATGGAATCATTGCTATAAAGAAAAATGTATCTTAAGATGACTTACACAGGGTGTTGGTGGCACAAGTCTTTAATCCCAGCACTTGGGAGGCAGAGGCAGGTGGATCTCTGAGTTCGAGGCCAGTCTGGTCTCTATTGAGAGTGCCAGGATAGGCTCCAAAGCTACACAGAGACCCTGTCTGGAAAAACCAAAAAAAAAAAAAACAAAGATGACTTACAAAAGGACAAGTATCAGCAAGTGTGTGGACAGAAGGAGCATGACGCACATGTATCAATTCATCAAAAGATAGGAATGGCCCCGCTCCGGGACCTGTATCCCCAAGGAGTCTTAACTAGTATGCCAAGTCATCAACCCAAGTATCCAGCAGTGGCCAACTAGATGAAATGGTATTTACATACAATGAGATAAGACCTTTAGAAGCTGTTGGGTCTGGAGAGATGGCTCAGCTGTTGACATTTTTGTTATTGTGAAGTCAAATAGAACTATAAATGACATTTGAAAGAGGTGTAGAGGGGGTGCTGTGGAGATGGTTCAGGAAATGAGAGTGCTTGCCTTAAGGACCTGAATTCAAAGCCTCGGATAAAAACCAGGTGTTGACTGCATTCGTGTAACCCTAAAGTTGTGTACGGATGGTAGAGATAATAGTTGGGGCATGCTGGCTGACAGCCTAGCTCCAGGTTCATTAAGAGACTTGTTTCAAGGAAATATGGCAAAAAATAAATAAACCCAATGTACTCTTTGAGCATCCTTGAGTTGATAGATGTATGCATGCATGCACATGTGTGCATATACATACATACATGTACATAACACCACACACACAAACTTATAACCGTATGTGGTGGTACACACCTTAAATCCCAGCAGAAGTAGAGGCAGGGGGATTTCCGAGTAAGGCCAGTCTGACCTATATAAGGAGTTCCAGGTCAGCAAGTGTTTACATAGACTCTTGTCTCAAACAACAAAGCTCTAAATCACCATTTTACTGCCCTGATAGTCAAGGTGAGAGAGATGGTGTTCATACTAAGAAACATGCTCTTAGTATATTCCACTCAGGGTATTCACTACAAAGAAGAAAATGTTTAGAATTTTAGACTGAAGAAAGCTGGTAGACAGCTAAAGGATTAAGTGATGAGAACAGCAGACAACTATGCTTCCCCAAAAAACACTTAGGATGGCATCACTATGGTTCACCACCACACTAGAGAGAATCGGGAGAAAGGAGGTGGCCAGACTGATTTCAATCCCATGAAAGATGATGGGAAAATAGAGGGGTATTCTAATTCAGCATAGTGTCCCCATCTCACCTAACCGGAAGCCAGGTGCAGGAGAAACCAGCTTGTTGGGCAACAACATCATTTCCGAAAGAAGGTGTGGGGCGTGAGGAACAGTCCAAATTGAAGGAGACTAAAAGAACGTGATAGACTGCTGAATGCAAGCCATGGTCTAGTAGTTTAAGATTTTTAAATGGTTTCAATTTTCACCAGGATCTATCCACATATATGAATGGAACCAGGAAGATAATAGTGAGTGAGGTAACCCAGACCCAGAAAGGCAAAGGTCACATGTTCTCTTCACCTGTAGCTCCTAGCTCCAAGTCTTCAGATGTGAATATATAACTTGGAGTAACTGCAGAAACCAGGAAAGTAAAAGGACCACAGAGGGAGGGGGAGCAATAGAGAGGGGAATTGTCTCGGGATAAGTGATCTGAAAGGGAAACGGGAAAAATGGGGTGGTTTCAATTAGGGGCGATAAATACATAAGGAGGGATTGGGTAAAATAAGAGTATCTAAAAATACTATATCTAAAATTACATATAATACATATAAGTGTATACATACATAGTTTAAATGAAATTTCCCATCCAGGCTGTCGGTGCTCCCCCAAGAACCATAGACTATTTAACAAAACCCAACACCAAGCATGAAAAGCTGCCTTTTGAGTTGTCCAGTGTTGTCTAAGGGACTCCCAAAACATTGTAGGCCACGGAGTTCTAGGAGAGTTACCTAGTGAGACCCTCTCTAGAAAAAGAAAAAAAAAAAAAAAAAAAAAAGAGGGAAGAAAAAGAGGAGGTTAATAAGGGGGAGAAGGGCCTGAAGGGGTAACTCGGATACTTTCCAGAACTGGAGACCCATCTGGGGGGTGTGGGGGTGTGTGTGGTGTGTGCTGTGGAGACCCCAGCAGCAACAGAAGAGAGAACCTGTGTCAACAAGGCAGAAAGGAAGTCACTTCTAAGAGAGCTGTCCTCTGACCTGCACTCACACACACACAGAAAATCTTAAAAGTTAAAAGAAGTAGGGAGCAAGGTGATTAGCAGAACATTATTTAGAGAAGCTTTATTCTATGGCCCTTAGTCTGCAGAAATTTACTAAAGGTTCAGCAACTTCCAAAGTAGTAAACAATCAGGCTAGTTCTCAGGCGTGTGGAGAGTATTAAAATGTTTATGATAATTCTTTATTTAATATACTAAAGTTACAATAAAAATAATTTCATTATGACATTACAATAGCGTAACTGGCTATTGTTTGTCCCTCCCCACTGTCCTGTCTCACCCACCCCAATCAGTCCCTTTCTTTATTCCAATTAGTGCCTCTCCTGCTTTCAGGTCATGTATGTGAGATATATGTATGTATAAATTTAGATATATAGCTTTACCTGTCTTTCAAGTGTGGATAAATGCCCTGTTTTCTTTGCTATTCATTAGTGAACAGCTGGACAAGTTCAATATCTTGGCGGTGCGTCGTAAACACAGATGTCTCTATGGTGTGCTGACTCCGAGTTCTTTGGGTATAGACCCAGAAGTCATACGTGGACATCACAAGGTGGCTCTATTTTGGGATTCTTGAGGAACCTCCACGATGGTTTCCACAGTGGAGCACTAGTTTACAGTGCATGTTTCCTCTTTCTCCACATTCTCATCAGAGTTTTTCCCCTTTGTGACAGCCATTCTGACCAGGGCAAGACACGCTCTCAATGAAGTTCGATGTTGTACCCTTTAAGACCATTTTTCCGTCTAGATTTATTTGTGTTTTTTTGAGACAGGGTATCTCTGTGTAACCCTGGCTGTTCTGGAACTGGATCTGTAGACCAGGCTGGCCACAAACTCAGACATCTCCTGTCTCTGCCTCCCAAGTGCTGGCATTAAACCCTCTCGACCTTAGACTTATTTATTTCTATTTTATATGTCTGGGTGTTTTGCCTGTGCACTTGTATGCAGTGCTGTCAGGGGACAGAAAAGCCTGTCTGACTCCTTGGAACTGGAGTACAGAGGGTCGTAAGCCACATGTCCGTCGTAGGAATCAAACCTGGGTCCTCTGGAAGGGCAGCTAGAACTCATAACCAGTGAGCCATCTCTCCAGCCCGCTCCATGCTGTCTTAATTTGCATCTACCTGATGGCTGAGGCTGATGAACAAGTTTTAAGTATTTATTGGCCTTTCTTCTTTTGAGAACTTTTGAGTTCACTAGCTGATTTATTACTATGTTTTTTTTGTGTGGTTGGTTTCGATTTATTTATTTATTAAGACAGGGTGTCTTACTCTGTAGCCCTGCCTGTCCCAAATTTGCTACATAGTCCGTGCTAGCCTCAAACTCAGCGATTCCCCTGCTGCCACTTCCTCGGTGCTGGGAATAAAGGCATGAGACACTGCACTAAGTGTATAAAAATTTCATGCAATTGTACTTGCTAATTCTTGGGATTGTTTACTGTGCTACTGGAGTACTTTTTGGAACATCTTTATCTATACTTGTATTTTTGTTTTTGGTTCTTTGAGACAGGGTCTTACTATGTAGCTCTGGCTGGTCTAGCGTTCTCTATGTAGACCAGGTTGGCCTCAAACTCAGAGAGATCGGCCTACCTCTGTCTCCTGAGTGCTGCAATTAAAGGCGTGCGCCACCATGCTCAGCTTGCCTATATCTTAGGTGTTTTTCCCCTAACAGTTTGGGTCTTACACTAAGATCTTTGATCCATTTTGAATTGACTTTTGTGTATAGGCTGACAAACATGAATCCCATTC